AGCATTGGCTGGCCGACGGTACCCTAAGGAGGCCCTCTCTGTGGGAGCGGACTGGTCGAAGGGAGGAGGCGGTCTTGCAAATACCTAGGTCCATTGCCATGGAGCGCTTTAAAAGTTGTTACTAACACCTTGAAGCGCACCCGGAAGGCCACCGGCAGCCAGTGCAGCTCGCGCAGGAGAGGTGTTACATGGGAGCATCTAGAGGCCCCCAAAATCCCCCGCGCAGCCGCATTCTAAACTAGCTGGAGCCTCCAGGTGCATCTCAAGGGGAGCCCCATGTAGAGAGCATTGCAATAGTCGAGGCGGGAAACAACGAGGGCTTGAGTGACCGTGCGTAGGGCGTCCCGATCCAGAAAGGGGCGCAACTGGTGTATCAGGCGAGCCTGATGAAAAGCCCCCCTGGCCACGGCCGTCACATGATCGTCTAAAGACAGCCGAGCATCCAGGAGGACGCCCAGGTTGCGGGCCCTCTCCGCGGGAGCTAATGACTCGCCCTCGATAGCCAGAGATGGAACCAACTGGCTATGACGTGACGCCGGAAACCACAGCCACTCGGTCTTGAACGGGTTGAGTCGAAGCCTGTTCCTCCCCATCCAGACTCGCACGGCCTCCAGGCACCGGGACATCACTTCCGCGGCATCGTTGGGGTGGTCCGGGGTGGAGATGTACAGCTGGGTGTCATCTGCGTACTGATGAAACTCCACCCCGAAACCACGGATGATCTCATCCAGTGGCTTCATATAAATGTTGAACAGGAGAGGCGAGAGGACCGACCCCTGTGGTACCCCACAAGTGAGGCGCCTCGAGGTTGACCTCTGCCCCCCTGCCAACACAAATTGCGTCCGGTCCGAGAGGTAGGACGAGAACCACCGTAAAATGGTGCCCCCCAACCCCCCTAACCGGTGCAACAAGATACCATGGTCGATGGTATCAAAAGCCGCTGAGAGGTCTAGCAGGACCAGGATAGAGGAACACTCTGTATCCCGAGCCATCCAGAGATCATCAACCAACGCGACCAATGCCGTTTCCGTGCTGTGCCCAGGCCGGAAGCCGGACTGGCGCGAGTCTAGATAGACAGTTTCTTCCAGGTGCTGAGGGAGCTGTCGTGCCACCACACTTTCAACAACCTTCGCAAGAAAGCGAAGGTTGGAGACAGGCCGGTAGTTGGCCAAAGCAGCCGGGTCCAGGGAGGGCTTCTATGAGAGATGACCAGCAGGTTAGAGTAAAATAAAATGAACTGGGAATAGGAATAGGAATAGAATAATAACTTTAATGTCACTTTAAATGTACACTAATCAGCACACATTAAAATGAAATTTTGTTGCTTTCAGCTCTCAAACGGTAACCAACTCCAATATACACTACATAAACATGACATGTTTTATGACAACTGTGTAGCACTAACTGGTGGGTGGTAAGGCACTGCTTTGTGAGGGCCGGGTGTACAGCTGTACCCTTCCCTTCTCTTTATAGCATTCTGATCCTGCAGATATCTCCATGGAATGGGATATTTGGTTATCCGTCTCCCAGCATATTCTGTTGCTGTTCCTCAGTCTTGGGAATCTGCTACCAAGTCTGGCAGTGTTGCCAAGAGAAATGGGGAAATAAGTCCAGGTGTGTCCACAGAAAGGGTTTCAAAATATTAAGAGGCCAGCCTCATCTTTGTGATAAAAGTTCCTCCCTGTTTTACAGTCCATGTGTTGTGATTCATGTAAAAAGTGACAGGACTTTTGAGTGCATTATAGGGGCTGCCATCTTGATTCTTTGGTGTAATTAGCAGAATTTCTCCCATTCCCCAAAGATAAATGAACCTGAAAATTAGCAGTTAGGAAATGATGGGTGGCCTCATATTTTCATTTTGTAATCTTGACCGGAGCCTTTTAATAACCATATCATGAGAAAGAATCAGCATTGCTTTACATACTAATTGGATGCATATATTGTACAAAATCATAATGGGGTTTTTGAAAGGTATGAATCCAGCAAGTGTAGATTATAGCCCATAGATTATGGTTTAATGTCAATCCTGTCATTTGTTGCTTATTGAATGAAGCATGAATTTAAAAGTATGATTTAGCATGTGTGATTTTAAATAATGAATGCCCTAGTATGAGGGCTTCAAGATATCTCACTCTGAATTAAGATTCCTATATGTACACTGAATATAAGTTGAATTCAGTTCAAACCAATCAGGTTTTTCTTTGGAGCAGGAAATGCTCTAGAAAATAATGCTATAGGTCTGAGCTACAATCCTGAGCCAGCACTAGACGGCAGCAAAGCGATACAAAGCGATACAAAGCCTTGAATAACTTCTTACCTTGTACTGATTGTCTGGATTTTTGCAGCTTGGCAGTCATGTTGTAAATAATACAGAACAGGTACCGTTTCCAAAGCATTACACCATAATTGTGATAATCTATTTGTCCCATACTGCACACACAAAAAATGGGGTGGAAGGGCAGAAGCCATGGTTCTGAGAACCAGATGTCTCAACTGGTTTATTCCGGCTGCCTCTCTACTTGGCCTTTGGCATAATATAGCTTGGTGCACTTAGAATAGCAAAAGGTCAGGAGCACAGCCTTGCACAAGATGCTTGGCAATGGACTGGGTGTTGTCTCAGATCTCCCAGAGAAATGAGCAGGAGGAGAGACCCACCCTTATTGTGGGAAATCATCTTCGAATGCACCAATCCCATTGGCCCACTTCCCCCACTTGGTTTGCCCCACCCTTTGTTCAGGAAATGGTTGTGGTTTTGTTCTAATGTAGGAAACAATCCTTGCAGAAGCCTCCTTGCTTCTTTTTATGGTTACTGCTGATCTGCTTCCCCCT